AGCCCTCTCGGCGACCACGGCTCGCTCCTTTTGCCGCGTCCCGTGCCTAGAGTGTGTTCGGAGTATTGCCAATGCGCACGCGGCCAGGGCAAGCAAAGTGTGGATGGGGAGTTTGGGGCGGGCGGGTGGGGCGGTGGTGGTTGGGAGGAGAGACGTCCAACCTCTTCCCCGCACACGCCAAAGCCTCCCTCCCCCCCACCCACCCCCACTGTGAGTTCTGTAATCACTTAGAACCGCGTGCACCTCTTCCCGCAAGACGCATGCCTAAGCGGCTTTCGCCGAGCAGTGACTGGCCCGTGGGCCGCGCCAACAAAGCAAGACCCTTTGAAGTGCCACTGTTGCAGGCAAATTGAATGACCGCGACGTGAGCGATAGTGCGCGCAGCAGCAGCAGCGTCGGCGGCGCGTTATTTATTGCGGACAGTCCAAATGCGCCCACGACTCATTCGCTGTGGAGTGCGTGTCCACGTGTGTGTTCGTGTGTGTGGGGGGGGGCGGTAGCGTAGCGTTACAAACCAGGCGACCCGGGTTCGTTCCCGCTCACGTCCCACACCAGTGTGACGATTATCTGAACCGGTCCTGGGCCTCCCCTAGGTCGACTCAGTATCAAATGAGTATCTTGTGCGGCGTGTAAACATCGCCACTGGGGAGACAAAGGCAGTCGGGCGTGGTGCTGGCCACCCAACCCCTCGTGTACCGTTCCAGGCCTTAAAAGGTGTTCGCTAACAGCACTTGCCCCAACTATCTGTTAAGGCTACACGGGGGATCTTTGTTGGTCAATAGAGGAGCGGCAGTATAGTGGTTAGCGCGCCGCGCTACGAACCCGGCGACACGGGTTCAATTCGAGCTCACGGCCAACACAAGCGACTATTGAATGGTTCGTCGCTGGGAAGACAAAGGCGGCCGAGCGTGATGCACGCCGCCCACCCTCTCGTGGCATATGCAATACGGAGACCACGGGCGGATGGGTTTGGGTGCTCGCCCCATCGCACCCCTCGCCCACGCTATGCGGACCTTAATAGGCGCCTGCTCCATCTAACAGTCTATCACAGACTGTTTGTGGTGCCATCCGTCTCTCCTTTGTACGTTCAGGGTGAGCCGTGGCGCAGCGATTTGCGCACTGCGCTTCTCTCGTTAGATTTGCCCGGGCACGGCTAACACGTGTGGTGCGCGCGCGTGCGCGTGTCTGAACCTGTCCTGGACTTCCCCTAGGTCGACTCGGCCATGAATGAGAACTGAGAAGACAAAGACGGCCGTGCCGGGCGATGGCCACACCACCCAACTCGTGGGCCGTGCCGGTCTCAATAGCTTCTCGTTATCAGCGATTGATCCGAACGTCAAAGAGTGCGCACTGGAGGTTCTTTGCTTTTAAGTTTTTTTTGGTAAGCGTGATTCTTTGCTCGTTCGCAACCACTCTGCTTACAAACCGAGCACGCGATGTCACGGCAAAAGGGGGCGCTTTCAATGCACCCGCTTGTCTCCTTGAGTGGCCAAAACAGAAACTCGAGAAAGTCAAATGAAACAATAAAAAGGTCATCTGTCGCGGGTGAGCTTCCCGTTCCAAAGTTTGACAGCTGTTCGTGTCCAGAGAGGACACTGTGTAACCACGGCTGTCGTGTCCGCTCGACTTTGGACAGGCACTGGCCAAGACGAGCCGAGCGCCTCTGCATCAGAGCTCTGAAATTTGGATAGGGAGGGTCGTTTTGACACCCAGACGGGCATGGGAACACACACACACGTATACGTGCGCGTGAATGCGTGTGAACGCACACACACACACATACGCATCCACGCGCATGTGCACGAGTTCACACTCACACGTTGTACGCTCCCTCAACACACACACATGCAAAGACAAAGATCCCTTATATAGCCTTAACAGAATGTTGGGGAAAGTGCTGTTAACGAGTAGCACCTATGAAGCCCAGCACGGTACACGAGAGGGTGGGTGGCCACCACCACGCCCGGCCGCCTTTGTCTCCCGAGTGGCGATGTTTCCACACCGCCCCTGGTACTCATTTAAGGCTGAGTCGACCCCGTGGAGGGCCATGACCGTTTCAAATATATATATCGAACTCGGGTCGCTGCTGGGTTCGTAGCGCAGCGCGCCAACCGCTACACTACCGCTCCCCCTTTTCGGCGTACGCACGCACGCACGCACCCACTCACTCACTCACACGTGCGCGCTTGCGATGACGTTCACGAAGGCGCGCACGAGCGCTCCAACGCCTCTCTGCTCGAACGAACCACAGCACACTGTCGCTGATTGGCAAGTGCGGAAAGGCGCGGCAGATTTTAAAACGAGTCGAAGCAATGATAGAGCCACTGCCATTGACAAGATGAAGAAGATAACGCCGCGGGCGAGGAGAATCCATGAATTGGAACCCGGCCGCGTTGAAGCAGAGCGAAAGCGAGTGTCTTCTTGATCTTCGTTTTCCGGCTCAGGGATTATTTGACGCACGGCACGAGCACTACGCTACAGGGTACGCCCGTCAGTAACGATGCTACGTGAGCCGTGCTCTACATTAGTTTGATGTACGGCTACATGCACATCGCTGTCAAACGCAAGCGTAGTATGATGAGGACAAAAAATACCGAGAGATGAACGATTGCTACGTGATCATGTAGTCCTGCCCGTCCAACAAGAGTCAACATTTGTTCTCCTATGGACCCGTCATAGGAATATGGAATTTTCGACCGATCGCATCCATGCCCGAGCACCGCATCAATGCGCATTCGAGCAGGACATCACTTTGACGTGACGTATGATCTGCGTAGCCTGTGTGTACGCGGTTTCACCTGCGGAAGGAAGAGCCCTGCCGATGTTAACGATGGCCATTTGAAGGGGAATGTTGTACCGTTGGTCTCTGTGTGCCACGCCATGCACGCGGAGTAAGAGGAAAATGCGTATTTACAATCGGGAGGGAGCGTTCACCTTCAGCGGAGTGGCAAGTTTCGTTTTCGTGCGAGACCTGCCGTTAAAAAGGCAAACGATACTCTTATCTCATCCGACGTCTTTCTGTTTTGCATGTAGGGTCCTGTGTCATGCATCGTGTTCAAGGTCGGTTTAGGTTTACTGCTCGAGCAAGCGTGGAGAGACGCCGGTCTGCCGTGCAGAGCCATGAGCCGTGGTGGTGATTGGATGAATAGGACGAACAACTTCTCAACACCCCAAAAATGGGTACCAATTGTATCGACCCAATAGAGTTTCGTGACTTTTTCAGCACGTCCACACGCTTTCACAATCATCGCCCGCTCAGTCTTCTATTGGAAGTCCTGAACAATTTTTTGCAAAGTCCACGTTGCTCTGACGGGGATCAGTATGTCCATATAATAAGCTATGCCAACTTCTCCGAATTTACAAAACGATGATAGTTTCGATGAACTCCCGAGGTATGATTGATTTAATATCCCACCTTGACCGAGAATTGTACCCGGCGCGCTCAAGGCCATGAGCTCACTCAGTAAGCCCACCGACTCGGCTCTGACAACAACACGGTAGTTTCGGTCGATCTTATTTCGTACGCTTTGCTGTGTTGAATCATGACGTTTTCATTTGTCTGTTTGTTATTTCCACCCCCCCCCCCCCACCCCCGAACTTGTACCGTCGACGTCATCTCGCAGCGAACGGTGTCATCATCCCGTCGTGTCATGCAACGGCCCGCGGAAGCAAACATCGCAGAACAACAGTCTGAGAGCCATACTCTGTGGTTCTTTCGGTAAAGTCACGTAGATAGAAAATGAAACGATCACGACGTTTCGATCGTAACACAAGCGACCGTCTTCCTCTCACCTGAAGACGGTCGCTTGGGTTGCGATCGAAACGCCGTGATCGATTAATTTTCTACCTACGTGACTTTACTGAAAGAACCAGAGAGTATGGATTCCTGCAGTCACGAAAGCTTCAAATCAAGTCTGAGATCCATTCAAGTGACCTCGTATCTACCATAGAGAGGGGTGCGAGGCATTGGAACCCTTAAATGTATTTTTTCGAATTCTCAGAGCTGGCATGTTTTTTTTTGTACCAAATTAATTAAAAACCCAGGACAGTACTCGATGCGATTGGTGAACCCGGAATGACACCCACGTCTCTGACCACAGATACCTCGTTGTATTAGACACCGTTGAAACAAACGAAGGTCAGAAATAATCATGGAGCGGCAACCGATAGATGGAACGCATCCGAGCGTACACCGTTCGAGGAGACGGAGCGATGACATCAGCTCACGAGCTGGATTGTCTCGTCGCAGGATCGTGAGAGTTGGCAAACGTTCGGGGAATGCTTTAATCGAGCAGTGGATTAATCATGGCTGATGATGACGACGATACGAAATTGCATTCAACTTCGAGGGCAACCGATGAGTTTCATGTGTACGACACCTTGCAGGCGGTTCTCGTTAAACGTAAGAGCGGATGCCCAGTCAGTTGTTGGACTTAAGAAAGAAAAAAACGCACCTCGTGGGTGTTCGCTGTTGTGCTGCATGGCTCTCTGGTGATGTTCGACGTTTCGCTCCACGTGCCGGGAGCTGCGTCGGCTCACTGAATTGAGCAGCGCTGTACAAAATCTTTTCGACGCGATATGTAATCGCGGGGCCAAAACGTTGGCTATTTGCGTTCAGTTCTTAAATAGGTTCCGATGGCGAGGAACGAAACGTCGGACATCATGCCGAACAACACGCAGTAAAACCGGCAAACATCGTAGGGAAGAAAAAAAATGAGTGTATTTATTTTACGTTGAGGCAATACATTTACCGTATTCTTTGGATTAGAATACTCACTTTTTAATCCTTGAATTCTAAAGCGATAGTTTGCGGGGTGATGGGAGAGTGCGTCTTATAAACCGGTAGCTATGTGTCTGCGTGTCTTTGTGGTGTGTGCGTGCGTGACCACATTTGTACAACTTTGAACAACACCTTAATTTCCGTCGCGATCTCAACCCAACTCGGCAGCGGCGTCTTGCGAATCGTGAAGAGCACCGGTGAGCGGATCGAAGTCTCTTACCTGCGATTATTGCCGGCGAGTGCTGCCCTCCCTCGGGCCGAATCCACATCTCGACGGTGAAAGCAGCTTGCGTCCGCAAGATCAGCGGCGTGCCGCCCTTGAGTTTCAGCTGCTCCCTCTGCCCGCTGAAGTAGAGCGTCTTGACTCCCACCCGGGTAGCGCCGTCGCCGCCTCTGCCCGCGGGGAGCACAGTGGGGCCGCGCCTGGGATAGCGGCTGTAGCGGCCGTAACGATTTGCGGTGCGTGCCGGGGTCACGGCGACGAGGAGGCAGACGAAGAGCGTCATTCCCTCGGCTGTGCGCATGGCCACTGCCTGGGTTCGTTTTGTGGTGTTGTTGTTGATGCCCGTTTCCTTTTGAAGAGAGACGCTGGCGACTTTCCACCACCACCACCACCACCACCTCCCCCTGGTTAGTTTAGCGAGGAAAGAACCAACGAAATGTACTTGATGGTTGAATTCAGAAGGATGAATAATAATAATACGAAGTGTCAATTTAACTATAAAGTGTCGTGCGTAATGATCAGTCCTGGAACACAGGTCTGACGGCTATTGCGCTAACCCAGTCATACTGAGCGAGCCTTTGATGTATCTCTGCACTTTGCACATAAGTTAGCGGACGAGATTGTGCCAGTCGCGCGCACTGTCTCAATCTTCTCGCGTGTGAATCTTCTCTCGTCCTCTCGTGTCTGTGTCTTCTTGTCGTTCCAACCCTCTACGCGCTACTCTCTGCCTTGCTTCTCTCCGCCCGCTTCATTCAATCTTGCTTTTCCCTTTTCACTCTTTCTGCAAGCCTCCCTCCCTTATCCTCCTCCTCCTCCTCTCTCTCTGTCTTTCTTTGCCTCACTACTGTCCGTCAGCGGAGACCACCCTCCCATCTCGCCCCGAAGGGCTTTTATAACCCAGGGCTAATCAATCACGCGTGAGGCACCGTTCCCTTTACTCACGTCAGCCCCGCCTCCACGTGTTTGGCCTGAAACGCACGCAGTTGCAAAGCGCGCAGAGACGCAACATCGTCGCACCTACCACGCACAGGGAACACACACACACATACAGACATACAGACACACACACAGACACACACACACAGACATACACACACATACACACATACACACACAGACACGTACACACAGACATACACACACACAGACACACACACAGACACACACACACAGACACACATACACACACACAGGCACACACACAGATACACACACATACACACATACAGACATACACAAACACAGACACACACAGACACACACACATACAGACATACACACACATACACACACACAGGCACACACACAGACACACACACATACACACACAGACACACATACACACATACACACACACATACACACACACAGGGAACACACACAGGGAACACACATACACACACACATACATACACACAGACATACACAGGCACAGACACACACACAGGAAACACACACACATACACACACAGACACACACGCACAGGCAACACACACACAGGCAACACACACACACACACAGGGAACACACACACACAGACACACACGCACAGGCAACACAGACACACACACAGGCAACACACACACACACAGGGAACACACACACACAGACACACACACAGGCGACACACACACACATACACACACACAGACACACACACGCGTGAACGCCCACGTGCTTAGCGTCGAAGAAGACGCGCGCGCGCTCATGCAGATGAGTGAAAGACGCAGAGCGCACTTCTTTGATGGTCAACAGACAACGATTATCTCATCGACTTGGGGCAAGTGCTGTTAGCGAGCACATATACGAAGGCCGACACGGCAACGTGGGTGGTCACAGTTTCAGTTTCAGTTCATTTATTAGGTATAGCCCTGTGAGCCATTCGGTTCTTGAATCGGGTGCAACCGCAACAAACACAAAACGTGAACAAGAAACATCTTAAAGTGACTATGCGCAAACAGAAACATCCAGGAACAAACAGCAACGTCTTCCAGAAAAAGCACCGTATATCAATGCTGTGTGCAACACAATAACAACCATGAGACCATTTATATGAAAGTCATCAGTCTAACTCTGTACTACAACAAACAAATATGGCTAAACCAAAACGTTTTCGAAATCACCAAAATAAAGCGATAAAAACTATGTAACAGTGATCATAGGAACTGTGATTCAGCACCACGCCCTGCCGCCCTTCTCTCCCCTGGTGCTGATGATTTACGTATAGCACCGTGCATGCACTCATTTAGTGCTGAGTCAACCTAGGAGAGGCCCGGGACCGGTTCAGACATTCGGTTTCACGGGTGATTATGCTGGTGAGCGGGAATCGAACTTGGACCCCCCGGTTCATGATGCAGTGCGCTAACCACTACACTACCGCCCCCCACTTCTCTGTAACGCACGCACGCGTATACACAGGAGTGGATGCAAAGACAAAGACGCCCACCCCCCCCCCCGTGGACAGATCACACGTACAGACGCGCACAACAACAGCAGCAGCAGTCGTTCGCCACTCAGGGATGGGGAAGTCACCGCGGCGCTTGTGCCAGGCTACGTGCGCTGGCAGGAGGTCACAACGCAGATCCAGGTGTTATGGCTTAAGTAACACACACGCGAATGCCCACACATATATATTAAGACAAAGACCACCAGTATAGGCTGCACAGACTCACGGGGCAAGTGTTGTTAGCGCGGCGCCTACAAACTCACACATGCATGCACAGACACACACACACCTCAACAGACTCGACCACAAACGAACCTGTCCGTTCTGGCACGTGTCTGGCATTATGCACGCTTCACATTACGATCTTTCTCTCTGTCCTTTTCCTTACCAGACCCATTGGTCTACCGCTTTCATGTTGACTTTGTCACCACGCGTACAGAGGTAAAGATTCCCCTTATAGCCTTGAACTGATTCTAGATTTGAAGCTTTCGTGACTGCAAGGATTCATACTCTTTGTTCTTTCGGTAAAGTCACGTAGGTAAAAAATGAAATTAAAATTAATAAAAAAATTAAACTAATAAAATCATTATCAAATGAAAAAAAATTTCATTAATTTTAATTTCATTTTTACCTACGTGACTTTACCGAAAGAACTAAGAGCTTGAACTCATTGTTGTGGCAAGTGCTGTTAGCGAGCACCTACGAAGGCCGGCACGGTACATGAGAGGGCAGGTGGCCAGCACCACGCCCGACCGCCTTTGTCCCCGCCTGTAGCGATGTTTCCACACCGCACCAGGTACTCATTTGAGGCTGAGTCGACGTTGGGGAGGCCCAGGACGGGTTCCGATATAATCATCTCTGTCGTTGGCCGCGAGCATGAAAATCGAACACGGGTCGCCCTGGTTCGTAAGCGATGCGCGCTAACGACTGCGCCACCGCTCCTCGTACACACACACGTGCACACACACACGTACACACACACGCACACACACACGCACACGCGCGTTGCGTGCATTGGCCCCATTCATTTGCGTGACTCGCGCCGAGGTTATGAGTTGTGGTGTTGAGCAATTAGCAAACCCACTGAGCGCACGTCATAGCCAACACACACACACGCGATGATGTCGAGTTCCGCGCTTACGCATGCGGGATAACTTCTAGAGGCGATGTTCAGTAGCAACTTACTCCAGGGAGCAGCGGCTCTCAACTTTTTAGGGGAGGGGATAGGGGAGTGGGGGTGGGGGGCGTAGCCTGCAGCGTGGATACCGTGCAGGGAGGCAATTCCAACGTGAGCAGGGAAACGTCAGAGTCACGTTGCGACGACACGACGTGGAATAAATGACTGTGTCTCACCAAACGTTCGTCATTCAAAAGCACAAGACGAACACCTCCTTGACTAGAGGTGCGGGCATGTGATCTATCTGGTTATTGTAGCCGTAGTAAACGGGAGAGCAGGGGGGTGCACATGAACCAGTGGTCTTGATTGGGTGGGGGGGGCATACCAAAAAGATTGAGAACAATTGCTCAAGTGTCCTGGATTTTATTTGATGTAATAATGACTGTCATTATGACGTCCATTGGTAATGAACAATGAGTGAACTCAAGGAAATGGCATGGGACAAACTCAACGAGGGAGGCTTCCAGAGTTGCATTCGGGATAAATAACCGGCAAAAGCCGAGCGCCCGTCTACGTCAGGCTCCCTACGCAGTTGCAGACATCTGTTTTTTAGGTCGCAGCAGCAATACGCAGCAGAGACTGTGTACCTGGAATGGCTATTGGCGTGCGGACCTAAATGGTTCTCATCTTTTGGTTATTCCAAATCAGCCACACCTTCCGTTCCATATATGCCACGTGAAAGTATTCGTATTTTTTGTCTAAGTGTATAGGTCCATTGCTCTTTTGCGGACTTACATTGAGAAGCGGCGTCTGTTAAAACATTTTTGGGACCAATTTCACTGTTCTGAGGCTCGTCAGCATTGACGACGATCTTCCTAGCTCAATGGATCTTATCCGAAATAAAGTAACTGCCTGAGCAAAGTCAGGCGTATTAAACAGACACGGCTGGTTTAATCTTCATAATCAGCAATAGGCATGGCCTATCCACTGCTTGGATGAAGGCTTCTCTACTGCTAGCCGGTCATTGGGGGGGCTTTTACTTCATCTCGCCACGCTCGTCGTTGAGATTTGGTAAAGGAGGCCTAAAACCGGTTCAGTTATCCCTCATCGCTATTGTTAGCCGTGGCCGGTTATTGGAATTGGGTGGCTAGGTTCAGAGCACCGTGTGTAAAGCCGAGTAAAAAAATACTATTGAAGAACAACAATGCCATTTATTTACACAGCAGAGCATCACTGAGTCTCAATACTTTCACCCCCCCCCCACCCCCCCAGAAATATGTTCTGCTAATTCCACAAAATAGTGCTTGGCTTCGTGTGGAAGTAAACTTAAGAAGTGCTTTTGGAAACCCACCACGTGCACCGGAGTTTACCGCAGCAGCACTGCCATCTCCTGACTGCCCCCTGCAGCCCCACACCTGCAGCACCTGGCTGAGCCGTGGTCACACAGCACGTGACATCTAACGGTAGTCACCGCCAGTGGCATCACGTGATGCAACTGCACCGGTGGCCCCAAGCAACAGGTTACGAAGAGCAGAGGTAAACGCTAGACATGGGGGCCCCCCGTTTAAGATCGATTTAGATATACTTTGGTGCTATAAATGTCCAAATAATGGGTCGCTTTGTTGAGCTATCATTTGTGGCCAGGTCGCTACTGAAAAATAAGTGAACACCGCAGTGGGCTTTGCCTGGTAGGATGGGGGTGGTTTAGTGTTGTATCATGGCTTTATTTTGGTGATTTCGAAAAGTGTATTGGTTTAGCCATGTTTGTTTGTTGTAGTACATAGACTGATGGCCTTAATCTAAGTTGTCTTGTGGTTGTTGTTGGTTGTTTGACTTGCATCCCACTAGGATTTTTGCACACAGCGTTGGTGTACGGTGTTTTTTCTGCAATATTTTGCTGTCTTTTCTTGTATTTTCTGTTTGCACTCAGTCACATATTCACTTTAAGATGTTTTTTTGTTCATGTTTTTGTTTTTTGTTTGTTGCGGTTGCACCCGATTCAAGAGCCGGATGGCTCACAGGGCTACACCTAATACATGAAACTTGAACTTGACCTGTGTGCGTTTGGGTAATTTCATTACCTTTCTTGTACTTTGCACTACTGTCATGTTTTTGAGCTGCTTGTTGCAACGTTCTTACCCCGTCCCCCCACTGGACATCTGAGAAAGAGAGCTTCATAGCTCATCGGATTCTCTCAAGTATACTTCATTTTTCAAATTCTAATTCGTTCCTTGCACCAGGACCCATGCCAAGAGCCTTCCCAAGGGCACGATTGACGCC